TCACCTCCTCCCTCTTTTTCTCTCCCTCTCTCTCCCCTTTCTCCTCTCCTCTCTCTTTCTCTCTCTGCCTTATCTCCTAACCACGAACACCATCAAGAAAGACAAAGCAGGAGCAGGGGCAGCGGGAGTGGGTGGGGCACATCTGACATACAGCGCTTTGGGTGCTTGGGCTGAAGGCCTCGCGAACAAAAAAGGCCGCCAGCGTCGGCCTGAAGAAGGTTCCAGTCTTCTCCACGCACTCCATCCATCGCGGGCGGGCGGGCTGCAAGATGAGGCTGGAGTCAGTGTCTCCCTCAAGGGGTTTTTCCTCACCTTTTCCCTCAGGCTAATGGTGTCTGGACTTTTTCTGAGCCTCTGGGGTGCATCTCACTTTGTTATCCTTTCGGGGAGACAGAGGATGCTGAGAACTCCTCCCTGTGAGTCAGGCTGGGGGAATCATCCACATTTACTACCTTTGAGTTGGAAGTGAGGCCTCTAGAGGCTCTGTCTGGAGCTCTGATAGCTCTCTCAGGGGAGCTGCGAGGCCCCGAGCAGGAGAGGATTGGTGACCACACCTTCCCTCACAGGTGTATTGGCTCCAGGCTCTCTTAGCCCCCTTCTTCATCCCCTGGAGCTAGTCCACTAAAGAGCCCCACCCTCCCTGTGTCTTTGTTCAAAAGAAATAGGAGCAGACACGCTCTCCCTCCCCCCCCCAACCTCCAATGACCATTGCAGATTATATTGTGGGATATTGAGTTATCTGAGGGAAACTGGGTTTGAGAGACCATGTTTTGGCAGACAAAGACACAGGAAAAGACTAAACTATACAAATTCAGGGAGCTGAAAAACTTTCAGCCCAATTAGCAATGAAAAAATAGGCCAAGATGGTGGAGGGAGAGGCCCGCAACCTCGGCGGTGTAGACACGGCTAGGTAGAAAGTCAAGAGTCCCTGGCTCCTGGGAGTTTGTGAGAACACGAAGTAAGGAGGGGGAAGCGCAGGCTCTTTCTGAGTGGGCCTGTGAGGCTTTGAAGGCTGACTAAGGTGCAGAGACAACACAGGACCCACCAAGTCATGTATCTGAGGGCCGGGGGTCTGGAGTAGGAGAGCTGGCCCAAGGGATTTATGAAAACCCACTAACATGCTAATCTGAGCTGAGTGGGATGCAGTCACAAGACTTCATTCCTGTAACTCATTTACTCCCACAGGTCTCCTTGCTGGCTGGCCACCAGCCACGGCACACTCTCTGGCCCTGTGAGGAGAGGTTGACGGAAGCTAAGGCCTGTGTTATGTGTGGCTCTGGGAGGGGTGGCCTGTGAGGATGGTGGCATTTTGCTACAGGCCTGGTTGTTCACATCAGTGGGATCTTGTTCTCTGACCAAGACTCAGTATAATCCTCACTGTGGTAGTTCTGGAAAAATAAGCATGAACTGGAAGGAAGACGGGGCTTGTGAGCCATGAGGGGTTGGCATGGGCTCTGTAGCCACATTCAGGGTCCCACCTCAGTGGCCCTTGAGGAGAGATTTGGCTCCTGAGACCAGAGTCGGGCCGCTGGAGGGCCCCTTGACCTTGGCAGTGAGGCTCTCTTACCCTGTCTACGCAGCCTGCTGGGCATTTCCTGCCCCCTTCTGCCACTGCCTGCCCAGGACTCCAACAGTCGTCGCTTGCTCCAGGTCTCACGCACAGTCTCGGCCATAATAAGTCCCAACCATCACGCCCCCCTGCACAGTGCTGGGATTCTTGGGGGTCACCTGGTACTGAGTCACACATTCCAGGAGCAAGAAAAGCACTTTGAGAATCTATAAGTACATGTAGATCTCTGGATGGTGATCGGCAGTTTGTATATTTACCTGCTGGGGATTCTGAGTAACTGAGATGACTTTCAAGACATGGAACGAGAGAGTATACCATAGACACTGAAAACAGGAACTGAAAAACAATCATTACCAAAATATAAAGGATGGAAGAAACATCAAGTGCAAGATAATGAGGTTCAGTGGATTCATTGGCGGACACAAAAAAAATGTTGCTGATAAAGCCTTAGAACATGAATGAAAATATTTGAGAAATGATAGAAATCAGGAAAAATTGAAAGAGGGTGGAGGGAAACAAAAATTCGCCCAATTTTTATAGAGGCAGATTTTAGAGATTACAGTCCTGCCAGGAATCCTTAATGTTCATTTCTAAAGAAAGTTCTAGAATCAATAATTAAACTGAACATTCTGGAATACTTGGAAAAGAATGCATCACCACTAGTGACAAGCCTAGGATCACTGCACAAAAAAGGCCACTGTGATACAAATGTCTCCACACCAGGACGCACCATGGCCCTGGTATACCATATTCAATAGGTCACATGGCTGAAGCAATGTGGTTCAGAACCACTGGACATGGGAGGCAAAGGCCAAGTTGGCCATATCGCTCAGCCCCAGACGGCTGCTGCTCTGGGAAAGGCTACCCAGAGCTGCAGACAGATGCCCCAAAAGGCCAGAAATGTGACACCACCCCCTAGGTTTTGAATGCTGGCAATTACATTTGTACAAAGCCTTAATGGCCAACAAAACACAACTCTAGATCAGATTCACCCTCAAAGCCCATCACACAGCCCTCCTTTGAACAGAGAATTCAGCTTTCGCTAAATGTGCACCATCAGTTTCAACCCCTGCCCTTCAGTTACACCAGTTCTGAAACAAGGTGAGATGAACACCTGTTCTTCTCCCCCAGGTCCCTTGGCAGAATGGGTGAACTAAATTGAAAGGACACACCTGCAGGAGGAATAAAGAGGAGCCAAATAAGGGATCAGGAGCGAAATAGTAACGATAATAAAGTGAAAATCAAAATCATCAGGCTCCTGCAGATCAGAGACATTCTGTAGGGGAGGAAGGGGGAGAAGGGCCAGGACAGGGGTGAGGATGAGCACAAGGGACTGTGGGATGGTGCACGGGGGAAGTGGTGGTGGGAATTTCACAGGAAACCATACATTGTACGGAAATGGACGGCGCAATAAATATATTTAATAGTATAAAAGGTAAAACTAAAAATTAAAAAAAAAATGAAGGGCAGTCCATTCTGGGGCCATTATTTTGATTCAAGAAAGCATAATACCCTGATGAACTATACCCTGATGAATTAGCTGGAGAATTTTAGTGATGGTCATGCACGGGAGTGGATTCTCAGCTGACAGAACCACAGGGAAATATAAATCCCGTGACTCCAGGTTAATAGGACCTTCCCTGACCATCTTACTGAAAGTGTAACACCCTCCCCAGCTAATACGTCCTCCCTCCTATTCTGGCTTCATTTCTCCATAACATTTAGCACCGTCTTAGTTAACTAGCCAATGTGTTGTTTTCTTCCCCCATTGGAAAAGAAGGGATTTTTGTCAGTTCACAGTCATTGCCACGTGCCAAGAAAAGGTCTACATCCTTCTATGGACGCTCCCCACACCCACCATGGTATATAGTAAGCACTCAATGAATAATCTTTCACACAAACTAAGTGGAGGAATCTGGACCTAGGTCTTCACACCTGACCAGACGCTCCCCCTTCCTCTTAGAGAGCGTAACAGTTGTCAGAGAGAGCTGCAAGAAACAGAGCTGCAAAGGGCCACAGCAGAAAAGGAAGGGTAATATCATGGATGATCGCAACAAAGGCCACAATCACCTGGGCTACAGAGAAATAGCTCACACTTAACTAGCAGGAATAGAAAATTCTGCTTCTGCTTCTCACGACTCAGCTGTTCAGATTGTATCAGAAAAAGACCTGGCTCAACAGCCATTTTTATTAAGGGTGTGTTAAAAAAAAAAATCAGCAAAATACGATCATCTACTGAGACCTCGCTGTCCTTCTGAATAAGAAGACGCTAAATCAGCACTCACTCCGAAAACTGGTTAGAAATCTGTCATGAATGACCATTGGATAGGACCCTGCATTTCGGTCATATGGGGTCAAAGCTTTGGGGGGTATCGCTGGCTTCACCACTTTCCCTCTCATTCCACGTTTGTCAGGAAATTCTGTCGCTGATCTTCCAAATATGTCCTTTTAAAACATAAAACATTTAAAACAGACACATCCTTCTATGGACTCCCCCCCTCACCCCCATGGCATGCAGAGAAAGTCGAAGACCTTAGCCCCTGCCAGCCTGGCCCCTCCTTCCCTCCCTGATTTAGCTCCCCGTATTCTGCTCAAGCTCTCAGTTCACTTGTGCTGCCCTTCCACTGACTGTCAGACACGCAGGTGTGTTCCAGCTGCTCCTGCAGCAACAACTGGCAGGTAAGCCTAGCGGTCTCTTCTCAGCCACCGCCACAAGGATCCCTCAGAGCCCAACACATTGCCATGAGCCACCTCCAAGCTTTGTCCCAATGAAATGCCCTCTCTTTTTCTGTGCACAAAGCGCCCCCTCTCTCTAAATTACTTCCATTGCATCCCTCAGCTCAGCGGTCCCACTAGTCATGCAAGCCCTTCTTGGCCCTCCCTTCTTGGGAATTCCAAGAGGATCTGTTGTTCCAGCAGAGTTTGGGGGTAAGCACAGCTACGCCCATTCCTTTCCCTAGCATGCAGCTGTTTTTAAGCTACAAGGGCAGAGTTGAGTTGTTGCAACACAGACCAAATGGACCACAGAGTCAAAAATATTTACTATCTTGACCTTTATAGAAAGAATTTGCCAATCATTTTCTGTCCCTCCCACTTCTTTCTCAATCCTGCACAGAATGTGGCTCAAAACATGACTTCATGAACCAGACGGGTTTGCTTTGGGGTCTGTTTCTTCACTTAGGGGCTGCATGGTCCTTTCTGAGGACCTCCAATTGGTTCTGGCAGGATTAAATACAATCTAAGGGTGACATGTGGTCACCACTCAGAGCGGATCAGCGCTTACGGCCCTGTGACATACCTGGTATGTCAATGATGATAGTTTCAGAGAGGCAAGATGGCGCCCCCCACCAAAGCCACACAACCATTTGTTTGTAGCCCTGCATTCTATTTTTAGTCTATGCTAAAGCCTAGTGGAGACATCGCTTGTCTCTCTTGAAAGGATACACGTCAGTATAGAAAGGATGGTAACTAAGAGATTGTTAAGTCCCCTAAAGTTCTGCAAATGTGAGCCCTCACAATGGCACTCCAACAAACTCTGAGAAGGGCTGCCATGAGGGATTCGGCAGCGATCTCAACCCAGCGGAGTTAGGGTCCATTCCGCTTTATCTGAGACGAGCAGAAGGCTGAGTAGAAGTCTCCAGGCGATGCTGGTGTGAGCGGGGCATGTTATTTTTGTTGATGTTCTTAGCACAGTGATGACGTGCACAGGCCCTCGAGCCAGAGTGGGGCTCTTAGCTCTACCAGCTTACCAGCTCCATCACCTTCAGCAAGCTCTGTGATGTGTCTGTGCCTCCATTTCCCCACCTCTAAGCAGGGACGAAATGGTGGCCCAGCCTCATGGGGTTGCCGGGATACTGAGCAAGCACTCGATGCTAAAGGACTTAGAAAGACGTCTAGAACATCCTAAGCTCTCGGTAAGCAATAACCACGTTCCTTTCTCTGCACACATGTTGTCCTCGCTGAATTCCACACATATTTCAGGCTGCCCAAACAATGCAAGGCAGAGAGATGGGCCGTAAATTACCCCACAAAATAGTGCTTCTAAAAGCAAAACTGACACCTTCCCTGAGCTTGGGACATGTCTCATGGAGAAGCTTCTCCACTTGCTTTGGGATGTGTCTGACCTATGTTCTCAAAGCTCTCAGTAGAGAGTGTCTCCTCATCTGAGGTCCCACAGGTGACTCTGGTTAGTGTGTGGCGGGCTGAACAGCCCCTCCTTAGCCACACCAGGCTTTTTGTACCATGAAGCCAGCACTGCATCCTAACAGGCCCCTGTGGGTGTCAGATGAACTCTTCCCACGCACATCTGAATATCAAGCACTGAAATCACCAGAAGGAAGGTCACAGCTTGCTATGCCTATCTCTCACCCCAGTGAGTCCTGAGCTCTAGGTCCAGGTTCTCAACTCCGGAGTGCAAGACAACTAACCATCTCCTGTAAAGGTCACGACAATAGAAAAGCAGTTCTTGATCATTGGACTTTTATATTAAAATTTAGTGCTCAGCAACAGACCACGGAGGCAGGAGGTGTGTGCCTATAGCCTCAGTTACCAAGGTGACCTTCCACACCTGACTTTCCTACTCCCACAGGGAAGTCCAGACACTGCAGTACCCTGTTACCCCTCCTAGGGAGAGAGAGGCCACCAACATGCACCCCTCAAAAACATCAGCTGCTCCTCCGTTCTGCAATCTGGGACAATTCCTCCCTCCCTCTCCTCACCACGGGTGGTTGTTCTGTCAGCTCCTGCAGTTTCTGGGTTAGCCGTCTGCGTGCCTCCTGGAACTGACTGCCCAGGGCTGGAGAGAGGGTCCCCACCAGCCCCAAGATCATGTGGCTCTGCAGGAGGTCCCTGTGGAGAGAAGAGACCCCCACATACAACCAAAGGCTCTGGGGACACCCCCAGAAAAGAGCCTCCTCTCACAGAATTCACGTTGACAATGCTGAGGAAGCACCTTGTCTGTATTTATAGGAAGGAAGTTTGACATGAGAGCCAGTCAAGAAGGGCTTCTCCTGGTGTGGGATGCGGGAGGACGGAAGAAAGAACCAGAAGGAAGAGGGAGACTTTTCAAGTCCCAGAGAGAGAAGATCAGAAGATGAAGACAGATTCTCTACAGCCACCAGCAAGAAGTCTCAGCTCTTCTGAGGATGTCTCTTGTACACACAGCTAAACCAGGCTCTGGGGTACCTCCACCCTGCTGGCAGGTCTCGCCAGCTGGTTCCTACCCTCCCTCATGTAGCCTGCTCACTCCGCAGGGTGTGCGAATGTCCTGCGCTGTTATGGTGGTGCGCATGCCCTGGGGGAAGCCACTGTCTTCAGGGGTAACCATGCAGGTCCAGGGAAGACAGCCTCAAGCACAACCCCTCCTCAAGCCCTGCCCCTTCCTCCACACCCTTAGAAATTCCTTCTCACCAGGGCCCCTGAACCTTCTCGCCAAGCCTGAGAAACGGCACAACCCCGGCATCACCTCTTCTGTTTATTCATCTCATGCCCCGCCCCCACCCACACCCTCAGCTGCCACCAAGACATGAACGCCTGGCTGTCCCGATGATGGACTTGCCAGCATCTTCTACACTTCAGAGGCTCTTCGCAGGCTGGGTTCTCCTGCCAGCAAGCCCCATGTCTGTGGGACACCCACTGCCCTTACGTCATGGGTGGTCTTCCTTCCCTGGATCCCTGGCTCCCAGCCTCCCAGGCACTCAGGCTTCCTCTCAGGTTCCCTCCATTCCCTCGTGGTGACCCGCAGGCCCCCACAAATACCGGGACTTGTGGGAAGCTCTGACCAGCACCCCTCCTCCGAACTCTCTGTCCCATGACACCTCTGGGTCCTCAGACTCTCTCGTCCCCTTGCACTCGCCTTTCCCCAGAACCCCATCTGGGCTGGGGCAAACCTGTTGTTCAACATCTGCTCCTCCACCAGCTGTGACATGTTCTTCAAATACTCCAGGTCGTGGACCACAAGGGGCTGGGAGCGGTTCAGGGGCATCGGTGCAAACGTTGCTTGCAAACAGGACAGCCAGTCAATAGCAGGGGCCATTTCCTTCGAGGAGGGAACAGAGACTGAGGGGGAGGAGGTGAGGGGATGGGCTTCCCTCCTTCCCTCCCGGTCTGGGGGTGGTTGGGGAGAGGGACAGAGCCAGAAAAGCTAGGGGTAGAATGGAACAAAAGCCACGAGGAGAAAGCAGACAAGGAGATCAAGAGGTGGGGAGACCTTCATGCCCACCACCGCCAGCCCTGGCACAAGGCACCTGCAGTTGTTCAACAGTGACCATGTGGAAGAGCTTCCCCTGCGCCTGCTGCTGCTCCAGGGGCCTCAGAAACTGGGACAGCCGTGAGGTAATGGAGATGGACGAGAAGGCGTAGTTTTCAACCTTGACTGGGTCTCCTCCCAGCAAGGTGACCAGAAGTGTCAGGTAGTTCAGGTATTCCCGAACGATCTGCGGGAAGGCCAACCTCAGCCACAGCCGCCAGCGCCCTGCCTCTCTCCGGGTTCACAGGCCCTTTGTCCACGGCCCCATCTTACCTGGGCATAGATCTGCTGTTCCTGATCTTGCTTGGGGGGAATGTCAAACTCTGGCTGGTCTATCTGGACACAAGAGAGACTGAGAGACGCGGGGACAGTGGAAGGAGATGAAGGTGGGGGAGATGGAGACTGTGCTGGGACGGTGTCTCGGGAGATGGGGTACAGAGAGCATGGGAAGTGCAGAGAAGGGGTGGGGCTGGGGTGAGAGGCCGTGTGGAGCATCTACCATGGAAGTGAAGAGTGTGTGGGCCTACCAACCAGTCTGGGGGTGCTCAGCCAGAGGGACCACGGCCTCGGTTGGGCCAGGTCCAGAGGTGAGACCTGTCAGGACTCAGGTGCAAAGTTCAAGAGGAACCAAAAACTCAGATACCAAGACAAACAATATATTGACACTTTAAAAACCCAAACGTCATGTCAGAAAAGAATCCATGGTGAGCACCCTCCCTGGTGGCGCAGCAGGTTAAAGCACAGCACTGAGAAGCTAAAG